CCAGAGGGTAGACCCCAAAACACTGACGATCCGTGCAGATGGTGCGCATGGTGAATTGGTTGACGGATGGTGGCAGTGGTTTCACGATCCGTGAATGGTGCACATGGTGCCAGAGGGTAGACCCCAAAACACTGACGATCCGTGCGGATGGTGCGCATGGTTAATTGGTTGACGGATGGTGGAAGTGGTTTCACGATCCGTGAATGGTGCACATGGTGCCAGAGGGTAGACCCCAAAGCACTGACGATCCGTGCGGATGGTCTGCATGGTGAATTGGTTGACAGATGGTGGAAGTGATTTCACGATCCGTGAATGATGCACATGGTGCCAGAGGGTAGACCCCAAAACACTGACGATCCGTGCGGATGGTGTGCATGGTGAATTGGTTGACGGATGGTGGCAGTGGTTTCACGATCCGTGAATGGTGCACATGGTGCCAGAGGGTAGACCCCAAAACACTGACGATCCGTGGGGATGGTGCGCATGGTGAATTGGTTGACAGATGGTGAAAGTTGTTTCACCATCTGTGAATCACACACATGGTGCCACAGGGTGAAATATGGGTAAATGGTAGTACTTTTTGTTGAAAATGAGTGGAGACAAAAATATTTACATACACATGTGTTTTGTTATCTGCGTTTTTATGGCGACATTAACTTTCGCGTATAATTTATACAGAGTATTTGTTGACCTAGTAGACACTTAACTGTGACGATGGTAATTACGATAACTACTATTGTGGTTTGTTGGCAGAGAATACAAATTTAAAATACATAATTTTAATTTGATCGTACCTGCTCTGGTAAACTTTATAAATATTGAGAGCATTCAGCGAATTATCCAATTTGCACGTTGAGGATAAATATTTGTTTGTATTTGTGTATTCTTAAATGATGAATGTCCATTGCACCAATATAGCATACATGTATATCACAAATAATCTATACGATTTTCTTAAAACACAGATAAGTAGAATGTAGATTAGATTTATACACTTCTGCTAATAGAAATTAATCGAAAATTTACAACTGAACGTTTAGAGGCCTTCGGCAAAAAAGTATTTAATACAAATACAAGCCTTCGATTTAAAAACATAACTATACAGTATATCAAGTAACTATCCGCATACAAATGAGTAAACACACAATAGACATACCTTTGAAAACAAATTCCATGTATTTTATTAGGTCTTTGGAACTTTATAAGTGGAAAATTTGAATAAAAATCCTTTCCTCTTTGAATGTTTGCAAAAGATCGAACTTAGCGCTTGTTATCAACAGATCGAATTACTACAACACGTGATATATTCTAAGCATGTTAATTGGTTGAAAATAGTTGAAATTCTGGAACTTCTACTTGTCGCAAATTATATTCCGCAGCAGAACATTACACAAGTTCAAATTACAGATTAATAAATACGCAGCAAATAAACGATATAGATTAATTTGACGAGAAAAACTCGCTGACAATTTCTGGCTACATTCGATAGCCGCGTTTGCGATTCAACAATAAGAATCCGATATACTGGTAATATACAGCAACCTGACTTGGCAATATACGAATGAAAAAGCGCATCAATCAGCTAAATCTTGTGATGATTTTACACGAAATTGCAGCTTTTCACTATACGAATTTGTATAGCAAATACCGCCCTAATTCTACAGTATTTGAATAAATAAATACTGTTGATTGGAATATAGGTTAGAGATCCTTGCATGGGATATTTCTGTGCCTTTATGAAAAATGTGTAAGTTAAAAAGGTGTGTTTGTTCCAAAGGTGTGCTTAATTAGCAAATCTTTTTTGAAGGTGTGTTACAAAAGCACACCTTTCACCAAAAGATGTGCTTAATTTAACAATGTCAAAGGTGTGTTATTTTAAGGTGTGTTATTGAAAAAAGGTGTGCTATTTTGGGGTAAGCTGTAAAACATGGAATCTTGGAATCCTGGAATCTTGGAATCCTGGAATCCTGGAATCTTATCATATAACCGCAGAATATGTTATTATCAAGATATTATTATTATACTTATGCTGCAACATATTGTTCTGTATGCGATAATTTAACACTTAGCTACAGAATCAGACCTTGGTAATATATTATCAGTATATACTATATACGTTGCAAAATTTAATATCTCCATCTTAAGGCCAATACATAATAATATAAACGCTGTGCGCGCATCTAAATAATGCCGTCGGTTTATGAGTGCGTAGCAAGATGACCAGGCGGGAGGCAACTAAATTACATTACATATATCATTGCAATCAGGAAAAACTCAATTAATTAGATGCACTATAACACCTCGTATTCCGTCAAAAAATACCACACTTGCGAACAATTGCCGAGTTCATATAGTCTATATTCATTAAGGTTATGTCTTATGTTATAAGACAATAAGCCACTTTGACTCCTCCTCTACACTAGTAATCAAGTTCTATATTATTGATGATCGATCTCATGTATGCATGGGTGCATTGTATGTTTGAATTTCGCCGAAAAAGCGCTGGATTAACACACTGCCGCTACAACATTGCCAGTTGAAAAACCACGTGCTATATAACTCACTTACTCACATAGCAAGACTATGAGCCTCATTAACCACGTACTATATAACCTTAATTCGTTGAATATAGACTATATGAACACGGCAATTGTTCGCAAGTGTGCTATTTTTTGACGGAATACGAGGTGTTATAGTGCATCTAATTGATAATTGCGGTTTTCCTGATTGCAATGGTCATATGCACTTGATTTTAACTCTATTCATAAACCCGATGACATTATTTAGATGCGCGCACAACGTTTATATTATTATGCATTGGCATCAAGATGGAGATATTAAATTCTGCAACATATAGTATATACCGATAATATTTTACCAAAGTCTGCTTCTGCTAACTCACCAAGTATTAAACTATCGCATGCAGAACAATATGTTGCATAAGTATAATAATAATATCTTGATACTAACATATTTTGCGGTTATATGATAAGATTCCAGGATTCCAATATTCCAAGATTCCAGGATTCCAAGATTCCAAATTCCAGATTCCATGTTTTACAGCTTACCGCTATTTTGGGGCACAAAAAAAGATGTGTTAGTAGAAAAAGGTGTGTTATTGGAGAAAGGTGTGCTATTTTAAAAGGTGTGTTATCTTCCAAAGGTGTGTTATCTTTCAAAGGTGTGTTAATTGAACACACCTTACCCTTACTCGAAAGGTGTGTTAGCTAAAGGTGTGTTACAGAACACACCTTTTACGTATACTGTGTTGTGCTCAGCACACCTTGGTGTGTTTTGTAGCACACCTTGGTGTGTTTTGTAGCACACCTTTGTGTGTTCAGTAACAAGAAAACACACCTTGTGTGCTATTTTAGCACACCTTGTGTGCTAAATAACACACCAAGGTGTGTTGTTTAGCACACCTATTTTTAAGAGTGTAATTGTAAACAACGTTTTAAGACGAACCTTAGTAAAATCTTATATAAAAAACTTACTAATATCAAATATTCTTAGATTTTTTACTTGTTCGCTTGACAACTACCTTTGTGCTCAAAGTCCCCTGCCGTAAACAAGAGAGCCCCTTTTCCTGCGCATTGAAAGTATGAACAGGGTGGTGGTAGGTGCAGTCAGCCGTTAGGATGTGTCAAATTTACTTAAATACCTTAATTCTGCCCCTGAGGGCCCCGGCTCGGACCGAGCGGTGCTGAAAGGTGTTATGCCACTGCTTGTGGTTCAATTTAGCGATAGCTACTTATTACCGGTCTCCGACAACTGAGAAGCCAATCAAATCTATGGTGTGCATGGCTATATTATAGATATTTATGATTAATTTATTAACTGTTACATTACTTATATCTTTGCAGCTGGAAACAGTGAAAGAGAAACTTAATAATTTGGAATTAAAACTGCAAGGCAGAATTGACAAAGTTGAAAAGAATACAGCCGAGAACTCCAAAGCCGTGAACTCCAAACTTGAAAGTCACTCGAGTAAACATAAACGTCACTCAAGAAAACTTAAACGTCTCTCTAAAAAACATAAACGTCGCTCTAAAAAACTTGAACGTCATGCAAAACAACGTGAACATCTTACCAAAAAGGTCCAAACGGAAGATCATGATAAGCAAAAAGAAATTTATTCAAAGTTTGGTAATAAAGGTATTTATAATGTATTTTACTACAGCGCATATTTGTAATAAAGGTATTTATAATGTATTTTACTACAGCGCACCTTGGGCAGCATTGATAACTTGTGAATGTTTGGATCGGTCAGGCAACCATTCAAGCGTTCAGGCGGTTGGTCAATTAGGCAGTCAGTCCATTAATCAATAGGTAGTCATGAAGTCGGTCGGTTAGTTTGTCAGTTTCATGAAGTCGGTCAATCTGTCAGCACCGACAACAAAGGCATGTTACACTGATGGCCTGCAGTCCCAGACCTTGTGCAACGGGGGTTCTGGCGCAAGCGGGCTACTATGAACTAAGGTATTTTGCTTGTAGTGCGCTTTTCATGCGGCGTGCAATAATTTAAATACCTGAATCGGCTTGTCAAATTTTTGCCAAAAAATAATGGCCTTTAAATGAAGGTGTCGGAACTGAACGGTTAATTGCGTGGACATCTCGCGTGTGCTACACGCGAGCACATGAAATACTAATTATGTATAGAGCGGGGGAAAACAACAGCGAGAGCTTATCAATATATTTTTTATATTTTGAGATTTTTAGTGATTTTTATTGTGAGTAGAGTGAACTTTTCGCAGATACGTACCGGGGAGGCAGGTACTTTGCGAAACGTGGCGCCTCCGAGACGGGATTTAGTGATATTGTTGTTATATTCGACGATTTTTCGGTGATTTAAACGCGATTGTTTACGAATGGCAGACGCCAACGCGATGTCGACGTTCGACGTTAAATTAAAACAACTTCTGATGACGTGCAAGCGAACTGATTCGGTGCTCGATTCTAATAAAGATACTGCGATTAAACGGCAACTGGAAGCTTTAAAAGCGTTAACAAACGAGGTAGAAACATCGAGACGAGGCGTAGAAGCGTTGAAAATCGGGCAAAAAGTGAACGAGGACGAAGTTGCTACGTGGAATCTGTGCAGATGGTGAATTGGTTGACGGATGGTGAAAGTGGTTTCACGATCCGTGAATGGTGCACATGGTGCCAGAGGGTAGACCCCAAAACACTGA